ACTTAGGGTCCTTTTTCGAGTGAAAGTAAAAATCTTCAGGGGGTGCCATGAACTGGGGCAGTTGGATGTCAATCACTGGTGCATAGGTGTCATTCACTGGTGCATCATGAATTTTTTCATTAAAACCAGTTATTTTAACATTTATTTTTAAGATTAAAACGAATTTTGGTTTTATTCACAAATTAGAAAAGATTTGCTGAAGATTGATAGCAAAAACTTAAAGATTCATCAAGTTTTGAAATTATGAGAACTAATCAAAGTCAACCTCCACCACTAAGGTGCCATTCATTGGCGCAGTTACCTTAGGTAACTTAAATCAACTTAGCATACCTATTTTAATTTTTAACAAAAGTCTTTAACACTCGATTCTGCTAGACTTATTTAACATTTTTGAAACTGAAACTTAGCTGAAGCCATTTTATAGTTATAACCCAGAACTTTTCATCATCATAAACTGGAAAATCATAATTGTAACTCTTGCTTTGTTTGAAAAATATATTCTCAGAACAGTAGATACAAAGCTAAATTTCAGTGTTTAAAAAAATGATCAATACATGGTTTACTGAGCCTTGAAGGCCAAAATTTTAAGACATCTTTGAAATTGTCTTGATTTTAAAACTCCTTAAGTGCTTTTTCTTATTCTTATTTTATTCTCACCACTCGTAGAGCTTTTTAGAAGATTTTCCGAGTCATGGAGATCTTTTGGTATGGTTGTTATTTAGAGAACTGGTCGTTGAAATTTTGCTATAACTTTCATGCTTTTCCTTTCTTAATGTATTTATTTTGTAAGTAAGTTATTGGATTATGAAATGGTTGTAATTAAATTTTTAGGAACATAGCATAGATTGACGGCCAATGTCATGTCTAAATATGTTGCCAGAAGGTTCAGTTTTTTGATAAAAAGCAAAATAATAAAAATTTTTCAGTGCCTATCTGTGTTTATTTTGATTTTCCTCCCGCAAAAACCATTCAGATATTGTTAATTTTTTATTTAGATAGGTATTGGCTTTCACCAAGGGCTCCAACACAAATGTGAATTATTTCATGCATTAATATGCATCTAGGTAACCGTCTAGCGATCTCAGTTAGTAAGCGGCCGTCATGTTGGCCATCATTTTGGTCATTAGAGAACTTCGATGAGCCTATTAAGTTATTTGGACCTCATATTTGGAATCTACAACCCAAAAAACCCTAAGTTGGATACGCAACTTGGCACCAGAATGCACCTACAGTGGTTTAGACCCTACCGCAAGAATTTTGACGACCATCTTGAATTTGGGGCATCCCTTTGGACCGGAAAGGATTTTAAACCTCAAATTCGGAATCTACGACAAAAGTTACATAGGCATAGACCCCAAAAACGACATCAAAGGCAAATTCCAAAATTTTCAACCCCCGAACCCCTGTTTTGGCTGCCATCTTGAATGGGGGGTGTTACACGCAAAATTGAGCTTGACAACATCGAAATTCTTCTACTACACATCAAAACGAAGAGATTAAGATAGTTTTCACACTTGTTTCACATACCGTTCCTCGGGAAGGTTTTTTTGAACATGTGCCCCCAGACTCAATTTTTTTGGAGCGTTTTTTGCTAAAAAGTGTGATTAACCAATGAAGGAGCTGCATACCCACGATTTTCATTTTTTAATCAGTTAGAGCATACTCTGAAGTTGATTTACAAAAAAAAAAGTTGGTAATATCTTGTTGGCTTCGGTTGCTACGCCCATTTTAAGAAAACTAGTTTTCAGCGTTAAAAATCAGAGCTAAAACGGCGTATCTTAGGCTCAGTTGGCTCTCCTAAGTTGGGTTCAATGGGGAATGTTTCCCTTAAAATACATACTAACACGAACTAGTGTGACAAATTTCAGCTTAAAATTTTTAAAACTCCAAAACTTATGAGGCTTTTTCAAACACGAGTCATTCCAGTTTTCTGAGTTTGGAGAGAGCATTTTTAGAGAAGGCCATAAAACTTCAAAAAAATTTTTCTCAAGAAATATTGAAGATATGAAGCTGAAAATTTGGGTTTTTTCTTACTTTGACTGATAGATTCAGTAAAAAAAAATCAAGGAAATCTGAGTCGGGTGGTTACAAGTCTGTTCGAATTGACATGGAATGACCCTCTTGAAAAGGTGGATCTTGCAGAAAATTTTGAAGCGAAGAAGAATCAGAGGTATCTACAAGAACATAGGTGTAATTACCATCAGGTACATGATCCATGACGTTGAAGTCAAAGCTGATAGGCACCTTACTAGCCAACAATGCCTCTCAATTTATTTGGGAATTCAAATTTTCTTCGCTCATCTGGAACATGCAGAAATAGAAATAATTAGAATTGCTGAGAAACTTTTGAATTGAAACTGAATAAAAGTTCAATTCTGAAATGTACTGCTTTAATTGTAGAATCAATCAAATCATTAGGGCCCATTACATTGATTTTTTCCAGTGGGTACTGATACAGGGACAAGATGCACTGGCCAATCGTTCAAAGTTAGAGGGAGTACGTGGTAGATGGCTACAAGCCTCGATCAATAGGATGCATTGAGAGCTCTGTGGGGTAAAAATTTCTGGAACAGTATAACCGCACTATTTTGGATCTTTTGGTGTACCTTCCCTTTTTGCTGGCCCTTGCAGAGCGTCCTACAGTTAGATCAAAAAAGTACTTTCCTATTATAATTTCGTAAAACTAGGCTAAAGATTAGATTAAAAAAATTGTAATGGAAAATTTCTACTTTTACCCAGCAATACTTTCTTTCTAAGTAAACATGTACACTTCAAAATCCTGACTCTATGTTTGCTTTGAGGGCTGTAATTGAATCAGTGAGGATGAAAAAATGCCGTCTTAGAAAAATGTCAATGTTCAGGGGACTCATTAAACTGCACAGAGGCACATCCATGCGCATTTATAGTGCGTCCGTTGCAATGTAGCGTTTAAGGTGTCTTTTCATACACCTTTTTTGGCACTAAAAAGCTTTTTTACACCGACCATTTCACCTACTGTGCAGTTTTTTGCGCCTCCTGATCATTTTAATTTTTCCCAGTTCTTCATTCTCACTGCTTTAATTAGACGTGTTCTATCCATTCTTTTTGGACAGGACAGATTGCAAGTTCTTGCATTCACTCTTTGTTGGATGGACTGGGTGGTGGTAGCAGTCGAAAATAGGAAGTGTTTGCACTCTCGGTCAGTTTCTAATGTACTCAAATACACTTTGGCTCGGCTTTTTAAGACTCAATAAATAATTGCCTTATTCAAAACTGTGGTTAGATGCAAACTAAGTGTAAATGATGAAAAAATTAAGGTTTTTAGCTTGCCATGAGAAAGGAGAATCATTCCTCTCCTTTGAAATACCTCATCGACTAGCAATGAAATCACCCTCTAAAACATATTTTGACTCTACCTGTAAACGATCGCGGGGGAACGCGATGCTGCTTGGACGGAAAAACCATCCAAGTCCCGCCTGGCTATTTGCTGTCTCTCTCGCACTTATACGCTTCCTACCTGGGCGATTTTCTGCCTCTCTCGCACACTTTAGCGAGCCGCCTGGCTATTTTCTGTCTCTCTCGCACACAATCGCGTCGGGCAAGGCGATTTTCTATCTCTCTCGCACTTACACGCTTGCTCCCTGGGCGATTTTCTGTCTCTCTCGCACTGGGTGCCCTTCAACGGGACAACCGAGGGTGCAACCACTCTCGGAGGGTCGCGGGGGAACGCGATGCTGCTTTGACGGAAAAACCACCCAAGTCCCGCCTGGCTATTTGCTGTATCTCTCGCACTTATACGCTGCCCACCTGGGCGATTTTCTGTCTCTCTCGCACACTTTCGCGAGCCGCCTGGCTATTTTCTGTCTCTCTCGCACACAATCGCGTCGTGCAAGCCGATTTTCTATCTCTCTCGCACTTATACGCTTCCTACCTGGGCGATTTTCTGTCTCCCTCGCACTGGGTGCCTTTCAACGGGGCAACCGAGGGTGCAACCACTCTTGGAGGGTCGCGGGGGAACGCGATGCTGCTTTGACGGAAAAACCACCCGAGTCCCGCCTGGCTATTTGCTGTCTCTCTCGCGCTTATACGCTTCCTACGAGTGCTATTTTCTGTTACTGAGGTAGCAAGCGTAAAAGTGCGAGAGAGATAGAAAATCGCCTTGCAGGACGCGATTGTGTGCGAGAGAGACAGAAAATAGCCAGGCGGTTCGCTAAAGTGTGCGAGGGAGACAGAAAATCGCCCAGGTAGGAAGCGTATAAGTGCGAGAGAGACAGCAAATAGCCAGGCGGGACTTGGGTGGTTTTTCCGTCAAGGCCGCATCGCGTTCCCCCGCGACCCTCCGAGAGTGGTTGCACCCTCGGTTGCCCCGTTGAAGAGCACCCAGTGCGAGAGAGACAGAAAATCTCCCAGGGAGCAAGCGTATAAGTGCGAGAGAGATAGAAAATCGCCTTGCACGACGCGATTGAGTGCGAGAGAGACAAAAAATCGCCAGGCGGCTCGCTAGAGTGTGCGAGAGAGACAGAAAATTGCCCAGGTAGGAAGCGTATAAGTGCGAGAGAGATAGATAATCGCCTTGCAAGACGCGATTGTGTGCGAGAGAGACAGAAAATAGCCGGGCGGCTCGCGAAAGTGTGCGAGAGGGACGGAAAATCGCCCAGGTAGGAAGCGTATAAGTGCGAGAGAGACAGCAAATAGCCAGGCGGGACTTGCGTGGTTTTTCCGTCAAAGCAGCATCGCGTTCCCCCGCGACCCTCCGAGAGTGGTTGCACCCTCGGTTGCCCCGTTTCCAGTGCGAGAGAGACAGAAAATCGCCCAGGTAGGAAGCGTATAAGTGCGAGAGAGATAGAAAATCGCCTTGCACGACGCGATTGTGTGCGAGAGAGACTGAAAATAGCCAGGCGGCTCGCGAAAGTGTGCGAGGGAGACAGAAAATCGCCCAGGTAGGAAGCGTATAAGTGCGAGAGAGATAGAAAATCGCCTTGCACGACGCGATTGTGTGCGAGAGAGACAGAAAATAGCCAGGCGGCTCGCTAAAGTGTGCGAGGGAGACAGAAAATCGCCCAGGTAGGAAGCGTATAAGTGCGAGAGAGACAGCAAATAGCCAGGCGGGACTTGGGTGGTTTTTCCGTCAAGGCAGCATCGCGTTCCCCCGCGACCCTCCGGGAGTGGTTGCACCATCGGTTGCCCCGTTGAAGGGCACCCAGTGCGAGAGAGACAGAAAATCGCCCAGGGAGCACGCGTATAAGTGCGAGAGAGATAGAAAATCGCCTTGCACGACGCGATTGAGTGCGAGAGAGACAAAAAATCGCCAGGCGGCTCGCTAGAGTGTGCGAGAGAGACAGAAAATTGCCCAGGTAGGAAGCGTATAAGTGCGAGAGAGATAGAAAATCGCCTTGCACGACGCGATTGAGTGCGAGAGAGACAAAAAATCGCCAGGCGGCTCGCTAGAGTGTGCGAGAGAGACAGAAAATTGCCCAGGTAGGAAGCGTATAAGTGCGAGAGAGATAGAAAATCGCCTTGCACGACGCGATTGTGTGCGAGAGAGACAGAAAATAGCCAGGCGGCTCGCGAAAGTGTGCGAGAGAGACAGAAAATCGCCCAGGTAGGAAGCGTATAAGTGCGAGAGAGACAGCAAATAGCTAGGCGGGACTTGGGTGGTTTTTCCGTCAAAGCAGCATCGCCTTCCCCCGCGACCCTCCGAGAGTGGTTGCACCCTCGGTTGCCCCGTTGAAGGGCACCCAGTGCGAGAGAGACAGAAAATCGCCCAGGGAGCAAGCGTATAAGTGCGAGAGAGATAGAAAATCGCCTCGCACGACGCGATTGAGTGCGAGAGAGACAAAAAATCGCCAGGCGGCTCGCTAGAGTGTGCGAGAGAGACAGAAAATTGCCCAGGTACCAAGCGTATAAGTGCGAGAGAGATAGAAAATCGCCTTGCACGACGCGATTGTGTGCGAGAGAGACAGAAAATAGCCAGACGGTTCGCTAAAGTGTGCGAGGGAGACAGAAAATCGCCCAGGTAGGAAGCGTATAAGTGCGAGAGAGACAGCAAATAGCTAGGCGGGACTTGGGTGGTTTTTCCGTCAAAGCAGCATCGCGTTCCCCCGCGACCCTCCGAGAGTGGTTGCACCGTCGGTTGCCCCATTGAAGGGCGCCCAGTGCGAGAGAGACAGAAAATCGCCTAGGGAGCAAGCGTATAAGTGCGAGAGAGATAGAAAATCGCCTTCCACGACGCGATTGTGTGCGAGAGCGACAAAAAATCGCCAGGCGGCTCGCTAGAGTGTGCGAGAGAGACAGAAAATTGCCCAGGTAGGAAGCGTATAAGTGCGAGAGAGATAGAAAATCGCCTTGCACGACGCGATTGTGTGCGAAAGAGACAGAAAATAGCCAGGCGGCTCGATAAAGTGTGCGAGGGAGACAGAAAATCGCCCAGGTAGGAAGCGTGTAAGTGCGAGAGAGACAGCAAATAGCCAGGCGGGACTTGGGTGGTTTTTCCGTCAAAGCAGCATCGCGTTCCCCCGCGACCCTCCGAGAGTGGTTGCACCCTCGGTTGCCCCGTTTCCAGTGCGAGAGAGACAGAAAATCGCCCAGGTACCAAGCGTATAAGTGCGAGAGAGATAGAAAATCGCCTTGCACGACGCGATTGAGTGCGAGAGAGACGAAAAATCGCCAGGCGGCTCGCTAGAGTGTGCGGCCAGGCGGCTCGCAAAAGTGTGCGAGAGAGACAGAAAATCGCCCAGGTAGGAAGCGTATAAGTGCGAGAGAGACAGCAAATAGCCAGGCGGGACTTGGGTGGTTTTTCCGTCAAAGCAGCATCGCGTTCCCCCGCGACCCTCCGAGAGTGGTTGCACCCTCGGTTGCCCCGTTGAAGGGCACCCAGTGCGAGAGAGACAGAAAATCGCCCAGGGAGCAAGCGTATAAGTGCGAGAGAGATAGAAAATCGCCTTGCACGACGCGATTGAGTGCGAGAGAGACAAAAAATCGCCAGGCGGCTCGCTAGAGTGTGCGAGAGAGACAGAAAATTGCCCAGGTACCAAGCGTATAAGTGCGAGAGAGATAGAAAATCGCCTTGCACGACGCGATTGTGTGCGAGAGAGACAGAAAATAGCCAGGCTGCTCGCGAAAGTGTGCGAGAGAGACAGAAAATCGCCCAGGTAGGAAGCGTATAAGTGCGAGAGAGACAGCAAATAGCCAGGCGGGACTTGGGTGGTTTTTCCGTCAAAGCACCATCCCGTTCCCCCGCGACCCTCTGAGAGCGGTTGCGCCCTCGGTTGCCCTTGACGGCTCGCTCAAGTATGCGAGATAGATAGAAACTCGCGTGGCGGGACGCTTGGGTTTGCGAGAGAGACAGAAAACCATCAGGGGGCTCGCTCAAGTGTGCGAGAGAGATAGAAAATCGCATTGTTGGACTTGCGTTGTTTTTACGGCAAAGGCGCATCGTGTTCCCCCGCGACCCTCTGAGAGCGGTTGCGCCCTTGGTTGCCCTTGGCGGCTCGCTCCAGTGTGCGAGAGAGATAGAAAATCGCCTGGCGGGACGCTTTGGTGTGCGAGAGAGACACAAAAAAGCCAGGCGGCTCGCGCATAAGTGCGAGAGAGAAAGAAAATCGCACGGTTGGACTTGCGTTGTTTTTACGGCAAAGTGGCATCACGTTCCCCCGCTACCCTCTGAGAGCGGTAGCGCCCTCGGTTGCCCTTGGCGGCTCGCTCAAGTTTGCGAGAGAGATAGAAAATCGCCTGGCGGGACGCTTGGGTGTGCAAGAGAGACAGAAACCAGCCAGGCGGCTCGCTCAAGTGTGCGAGAGAGATAGAAAATCGCCTGGCGGGAGGCTTTGGTATGCGAGAGAGACAGAAAACAGCCAGGCTGCTCGCGCATAAGTGCGAGAGAGACAGCAAATAGCCCTGCGGCTCGCGCATACGTGCGAGAGAGAAAGAAAATCGCACGGTCGGACTTGCGTTTTTTTTACGGCAAAGGCGTATCGCGTTCCCCCGCGACCCTCTGAGAGCGGTCGCGCCCTCGGTTGCCCTTGGCGGCTAGCTCAAGTTTGCGAGAGAGATAGAAAATCGCCTGGCGGGACGCTTGGGTGTGCGAGAGAGATACATAACAGCCAGGCGGCTCGCTCAAGTGTGCGAGAGAGATCGAAAATCGCCTGGATGGACGCTTGGTTGTGCGAGAGAGATTGAAAACAGCCAGGCGGATCGCGCATAAGTGCGAGAGAGAAGGAAAATCGCACGGTTGGACTTGTGTGTTTTAACGGCAAAGGCGCATCGCGTTCCCCCGGGACCCTCACCCTCTGAGAGCGGTTGCGCCCTCCGTTGCCCTTGGCGGCTCGCTCAAGTGTGCAAGAGAGATTGAAAATCGCCTGGCGGGCTGCTTGGGTGTTCGAGAGAGACAGAAAAAAACCAGGCGGCTCGCGCATAAGTGCGAGAGAGATAGAAAGTCGCACGGTTGGACTTGCGTTGTTTTTACGGCAAAGGCGCATCGCGTTCCCCCGCGACCCTCTGAGAGCGGTTGCCCTTGGCGGGATGCTTTAGTGTGCGAGAGAGAAAGAAAATCGCCTGGCGGGACGCTTGAGTGTGCGAAAGAGACACGTAACAGCCAGGCGAACACACATCCAAGAGTCAGTAAAACGCATTTAAATGTGAATAGGGATGCCCACTAGTTAAGGGATAACTGCAGTTTTATTTCCTTCCTTTAAATACCGATCTTAAAGATAGGAGTGAAGGAAAAAACTACTACAACCAAGAATACACTATATTCACTTCTCAAGTTAGTATGCTTCCCATACAACAAGAGTCTTTTGGTGAAAAATCTGAGCCCCCAATCAATTGCTTTTTTAATGCAATGGCCGATAAATGAGATTTTCCTAGCACTTTTTTCAGGTAAGCGAGCCTCTCTTGAGTAAAATTGTTGGGAGGAGGGTTGTTGAAACCGAACATACCATCACTTTTATTCCCCAGATGCATTTCACATGCAGTTAGAACCATGCAGTAAAAATGTGAGCAATCTTTGAGTTGCTACTCCAAAGTTGGGGCCAATAATTGGCGTAATTTCAGTGTTTTTTAGTTTTGCGCGCCTTTTTTGGGCAAAAACTCGAAGTAAAAGATATTTAAACCCAAAATATCATTGATTTTATTTTTCAAACATATTGTACACACATTAAGGGCCATTCAGGCAAAAACTGAGCAATTTATGAGTTACTACTCCAAAGTTAGGGCCGACAATTATCGTAATTTCAGTGTTTTTCAGTTTTGCGGGCCTTTTTTGGGCAAAAACTCGAAGTAAAAGATATTTAAACCCAAAATACCATTGATTGTATTTTTCAAACATATTGTACACACAGTAAGGACCATTCAGGCAAAAAATGAGCGATTTTTGAGTTGACTTTTCAGGGTAATGGTCGATTATTGGAATCATTTTGGTGTTATTTTCAGTTTTTTACGCCTTTTTTGGACAAAAGTGAAAAAAAAAAGATACTAAAGCCCAAAACACCATCAGAATTGTTCTTTAGGCGTCTTTCTAATACTCTTGGAGCATTTTAAAAAAAATTGGAGCAAAAAATAACTTGCAGCTCAAAAGTTATGGGCATTTGAAGAGGGGAAGGTTTTGTCGCCAAAATCAGACAAAATCACAACGAACAATCAACCGCAGCACATCATTGAGTGAAGTCGAACATTTCATGCATTTTTTTCTCAAATCTACATACTTTCATGGACATTGTGTCAAATTTTCACTTCAATCCGACGAAATAGGGGCCCGGTGTGAATTTTATTGGGAAAAATGACCCTCTCTTTCTCGGAAGTTCGAAACGTCACTTTCTTGAAAATTCTTAAAACTTCAAAAATTCATATCTCAGGGAGTTTTTCGATTTGAGACCTAATATTTTGCAGAAGTTCATTACTTGGTGGTCTGATCAAGAAAAAAATTTATCATCAAAATCCGAGTCGTGTGTTTTGGTTGCGAATCAAAAGTAAAAATGCAGTTGCGGTGTTTTAAAATCTCTGCCCCTATTTTATATTTTGAAAAGAGAAAAAACCAACACTGGCTTGAATTTCTCCCATTATATTCTTTTCATAGAACAGAAAAATGTAATTCAGTTTTACAAATGAGCTGTGTACATTATAGATGGACTTAAAGTTCACAATCTTTAGTTCCTTGACTATCTAGGCTCCCCATAAAGTCTCTGACTTTACCACCAGAAACCCTGTTAAAATAGTTCAAAGGAACATGTACAAGTTCAATAACTCACCTCTTTACAACTCGACGTTTTGGAGCAGCATTTCATGAGTCCTCTGATGACAAACTAAGTTAAGCTTGGAGGCTCCTCCAATAAGTGGACGACATAGGAAAAAACTTGGGCATGGTACAACTGCAGACACAGGTAGAATATATGCAGAGGGATTAGCACCTTGACCAAAAACTGCTTGTGTTCTCCTTAGAGTGATAGAGCAAACCTTCTGTGATGATACTGAAAAATAAAAACATATTTTCAAACTTGGTAAATATGTCCAGTAAAACAGGAGAAGTAGTTGTTAGCACATTGCTAGCCGCAGTATTTTCAGTGCGTGTCAACAGTAAAACTGCAAAAATGCATATCTTGTTTGCAATGTTTCAAAATCTTTGCCCCTATTTTCTTTCTTTAAAAGGAAACAAACCAATGCCAATTTTGCGACCTTGGAATAAAGTTACGTTCTTCTGTCCGGGCAAAGACCAATCATCTTTCAAACTTGATCTGTGTTTAGAAAAATGGTCAACAAAAGAAAAAACTCGCCTCCTTCATACTCTGAAGCAGCATCTAACATTTCTAAAACAGATGCTAAGACAACATAGTTAAATTAATTTTTAAAAAGGAATAAAAATGCACAAGCTCTTCAATTACATGAGTATTACATTCCCAGACTTTTTCATGCATTTTCAATGTTTTTATTTCTGAAATTTCTTGTGAAAATGCTTTCAACAAAAGGTTTCTCTCGCTAAGTTTTCTAACATTGAAAAAATTAAAAATTCAGGAACCTACAGGCCAAAGTTCTAATTTCCGCAATGGAGCTTGTGATTGTGATAAAGAATAATTAAATGTTACGATCAAAAGAAAGAAATCAAGAGTCTGCAGCAAAATTCCCCGACTTTTTCAGGTTTTCAATGACTTTTCATGAACTCGCTACCCTAACTTCCGAATCATATACGATCAATCCTTGTAAACACTCCTGACAGACAAATTAAAGTGATTTTTTTAAATCTATCAGAAAGAAAAGAAAGATTACTGTAACTTCTAACAAATAAGGATCGGAGCATGAGTAAAAATTGAGTACAATTACCTAGCTTTGGATTTCATTATTCAAATGAGATTCAACCAAGATTTTCGGCCTGACCATGTTTTCTTTTTTGATTCTGTTTTTAGGATTATGAGTTTCGGAATTTTTAACAATCAATTAGGAGAATCAGTTACTTCGTTTTTCACATAAAGGGTCTTGGGCACCAAAAACCCTTTTTGTAAACAGCACCTCAATTTTGAATTCTTGTGGATAAAGGTCACTTTTGCTTTTCCTGCAGATAATTAAAACTTTTATTTTCAGAGATGGTTTCACTTACCTAATATTTTTTTCTTCCTCTTGAGAGCGTCTTTCAGGCTTTTCATCTGTACCGTAAGGAATTCTGCTAGAACATATGGATCAAACCCGTGGTCTTTGTTGAGATAGTATTTACCATTTGTGACTATTTCTGACACAATAAACGTTTCTGACTCTGTATCTGTCTTTCCTCTATTCTTCTTTTTTCTCTGTAGAAGACAGAATGAAATCGGCCACTATTCGGATTTTTCGCGAAATCGGGCGGAATCCGCGAAATCATCCATTTTTATCGGCGAAATCCGTACATTTTCGTGAAATTTACGAATGTCTCCATGCAAGACGAAAGAGCTTGATGCAAAAACGGCTTTTTTCGCCCCCCTCTGGAATTTCTTCAGACTTTGTCTATTGATTACTCATGCTTGAGCGCTTCTTTTCCCAAATTTTCAGACCCCCAAAAAATTTTGGGGGGGAGCTAGGGGGGGTGGAAGTCAAAACCTGTGAACCTCGATATCTCTCGAACGAAGAAAGATATCGAGGTCCGGTTTGGACGANCTTTTGCTTTTCCTGCAGATAATTAAAACTTTTATTTTCAGAGATGGTTTCACTTACCTAATATTTTTTTCTTCCTCTTGAGAGCGTCTTTCAGGCTTTTCATCTGTACCGTAAGGAATTCCGCTAGAACATATAGATCAAACCCGTGGCCTTTGTTGAGATAGTATTTACCATTTGTGACTATTTCTGACACAATAAACGTTTCTGACTCTGTATCTGTCTTTCCTCTATTCTTCTTTTTTCTCTGTAGAAGACAGAATGAAATCAACTTATGATAAATGACAAAGATGAATGAGAAAATTTTTCACTTGTTTTAGATAATGTTCAAGATAATACACTGTAAAAAACAGGCTCATTATTGCATGAAAGTTTCCTTGTCACTTTTTTATTAAGCTGGAAGTCATTGAGGAAAAGACTTATTACTAGATATTGAAAAATTTCGCCGCGATTCGCCGCGAAATTTTTAAAATGTGCTTAGGAATCTGAAAACCAGACAGAAGCACCTATCATAACCTCCTGATCACGAAAATAAAAAGCGAAATAACGCGAAATCGGCCACTATTCGGATTTTTCGCGAAATCGGGCGGAATCCGCGAAATCACCCATTTTTATCGGCGAAATCTGCGAAATCCTTACATTTTCGTGAAATTTACGAATGTCTCCATGCAAGACGAAATTTGCCGCGCTTTTTTTCGAAATAAGAAATTACGGAGTTGTTTCTGAGCTTGGTCGTCATTGGCTGCTACCTATCAACATTCGCCAATGGCATCAAAATACTGATGAAAGAAATGGCGGCAAACGGGGCATAAACATAACCTCAAATAATTTCATGTGAATAGATCAATTGATCATGCACGAGATCATCATGTGAAAATGTAGACAATTTCTNGTTCAAACTGAGCAAAATGCATTATTAGGGACTCTTGAGGGTCGCTGAGTTCAGAAATTACAGATACTTCCAAAAAATTCACGTTTTTAAAATTACAGCTCTGTAGCGCTATTTTAGAGGCCCACTGAGCGCCGACCGGCCGCTCAGTGGTCCTGTACGGAGCTGTAATTTTAAAAACGTGAATGAATTGATCATGCACGAGATCATCATGTGAAAATGTAGACAATTTCTTAGTGGTATAAATGTGTAAATATGTAAACATAAAGTTAGCAACAGATATTTTTTTATCAAGAATAAAGCTTCTTCTGTAAAATAGGATTAGAAAGAGAGAGACTGCGTGATGGCTCGTTAAAAAAATTATAAGCTTTACTTTGAGCTGTCAAACACAAAATGCGCTACAAAAAATAACAGCGAAATCGCGGAAATTTAAAAGCGAAATTTTCCAATGTCTACTTATTACACTGAGTAATATTTTAATAGACCACTACAAAGACAAAGTGCACATTTGCACATTATAACGTTTGTTTTTTGTCATCAAAATTTCATGAAGAACAATTATTAAAAATAACTCCTTATCAAGACATTGACGTTTTTCAATATGCGTGTTCAAACTTCTTTCTCATGGGAAAACTATGATCTATTTGAGATAAATTGCACACTAAACATTACTCTCACAGTCTCAGAGGTATGAACACACACGAACCGCAATCTTGGAGCTTAAGCTTAGCTGTTGGATGTTGTTTACACTTTGAACAATGCAAGGAGAAGAAGGAAAGCTTCTTAGTTAAGAGGACTACAAAAACTTGTATACAAAGCCCAATTTGATTCAAGTAATATCTTTGATTTTCTTCAGAACGGGAAATTTTTTGTGACCAAAGCTAAATAAAAACACTGCTAAATTTTGCTCATTTCAGCCATTTTCGTTGTTTGAATGTTCAAGTAATTGCTCATTAGTTCATTTGGTGGAGTTTCATAAATCATAAGACCTGCTACCTCATGATTATTTACTCAATCGATATTTGTGAAATTTTATTCATTTATCGAATACTGCAAGTGTTTTTGAGGGTATTAAAAAACAAATATACAATTATGAAAACTTGTGGTCCTCCGTCAAATTACATCAGTCAATCCACAGATGAACCAAACCCAATTTTACATGTTATATTTTGCTCCTAAAAAATGGCCTTTACAAGCTATGAAGAAGGCACTCAAGTCATGTACATCACAGTCCTATATTTATTACAATTAACGCAGAACAAGTCAGAGAGAGGAAAATGGAGAAGAAATTCAGAAAAGTAGTACTAACCAAACAAGACGAATCACTTGTATACAACATGTATACTCTTCGTTTTACCAAAGGCCAATTCGGATTGCCTTTGTCCAAAGGGATGGATTCCCTTGCTTTTGCTATAACTTTATCTAGAGACACAATGTCTTCTTGCTCTGAATTTTTTTGAATTCTGAAAAGAGATTAAATGAAGAACTGATTAAACAAGGATTTGAGGGGGAAAAAATGAAGTTTTGTTCAAATTTACCGGCACTGTTGTTTTAGAAATGGATAAATTCTTTCTGATTTTACTGAAGAATTTTTTCCTGAAAAATAATTGCAGCTATTTTGACCTTGGGCACACTGTCATGTTAAAAAGCAAAAAATGAAAATAATTCGAAATTATGTTTTTGATTTCATCTTTTGTTTAAAAACCTAACAATAGGTACACGCCTGAAATGGCTGTAGTTTTTCAAAAGAAAAAAAGTCTACAGTAAAATCAGCGAAAGAAATATTTATCCATTACTGAAAAAAATATTTATCCATTACTGAAAAAATATTAATCATGACAAGTGTTGCTAACTTTTTCAAAGAAATTATCGTTTAAAAAAAACTCATCATTGTAAGATAAAAATGACATTTTTACGCTTATAATACAGCTGGGTGTTTTGATCTTCATTTTCAAGAAATGCTTGATCTCATTAAGAAAACCATGCATATTATGGAGATTACTAATAATTATACAAAGTTTTTATGAAGAAAATTACAAAAATCAAAAGACAGAGGAAAAGCTTCATTAGGTAGCAAAAAAAATTTTTTTTTGACCAGAGGGAAATAGAGCAAAATTAATAGAATAAAAAGCATGTTCGCCATAAAAAATCCTCAAATTTTAGGAAAAATATACCTAACTGTTTACAAAAATATTCTTCTTCAGTTTCTCCAGTCAAAGTCAAACCATTCTATTTTCTTGTGACGTACTATGGAAAATCGTCACAAGAACATTCAAATGCTGCTAAATTCCTTCCAATAAAAACATTATTTAGGTAGAAAACTATGCATATTTTTCCTTGGTGTTTCAGATATTTTGGATTCACTTGCGAACATAATTGTCTGAAAAACTGGAATACAGCTTTTCCAATAATTCATGTTTTATCGAAGAAAGTTTGCCCATGCCTGAAAGTTCATATCGACAGTGTAAGTCGACAATCACATAACTCCGTTTGCAACGTTGCAGACTTCTTGTCATACTTTATTTTTTAATCGGAAAACTACTCGACAGCAATTCTTTAAAACTGCCGTGATTTTTCTTTTCTGTGCGAAGAAAATTCTGCATAAACTTCAAGGAATAATGTCAATTTGTTCTCCTTTAAACAAATAACATAGAGGCGGAGATTTTATAGCGTTTTATACTTACTTCTGCCGACACTCGCGTTCTTTCTCAGTTTCTTCTTGAGAATTTATTTAACTTTCAGGCGAATCGTTCATGGGAAGGTCCATAGGCGGAAGGGTTGGTGGTGGTGTTGGAAGAGGCGGGGACAGAAGATTGTGTCCGTCCATCATCAAGTGATCCATGTCATTATTGAAAATTCCTCATTGACAGGATGCTCGGCAGCCTCTAAAAAAGGGGTTCAAAAATTACTCAATTTATGTTTATTGACATTGTGTGGACATGAAAAGGGATACAACCTAGAGAGTCGAATATGGAAATATGCTGGGAATTTACAGAGGAGAACTTTACATACAACATAGATTTTTCAGGAAAAAAATTGATCAACGTACCATTTCATTCTTCTTTATTATCTCAATAACCAAATAATCTTGTGCTTAGGTGATGAAAAGTTATGAATCAATTTTTGTCGGATTATTTCTACCGTTCACCGTAGAAAAGAATTGGCAACCTTTGCTGATGTTTTTTTCAAAAATCAGGGTAACTTATAATTAGATTAAGACAGGAATGTTTATCAGGTTGGTATGAACATTTTTTCACAAAAGAATATTGGCCCCTGATTACAGTAAAATTTGAGGGTTTTGTTGATGTAGGCTTCATAATAAATAGCCGAGTGAAAATGCGGGAAAAATGCTTGAAAAAACTGCATAATACTGAATATTATTTGTGGATGCACTCAATGCATTCGTTATACTTGTGTAGAAATCTTGTGAGTTCAGCAGTGGCAAAAATGAACTTTACATGACAGAACACTGTTACAGACGGACATGATTGCAACCAAACTTTGATGATACAATCGTTTTCGGAAAAAGTCAAATGCACCGCGTTTAATTCTTGAGAAAACTAAATGAGAGGCACATCACTCATCTTCAATGATTGAACATCTGCTGTAAAATATTTTATTTCAAGCCAATAGTTCAAGTTCAAAATTAGATGGTAAAATCAGCTGTATAAAAAAAAACCTGACTTTTAACCTAAACGTTTCTTTACAACTATAAAGGAATTTACTAATTTTCATTTTTTCATCTGCTCAAAAGTGTTTTTAAGTTCTCAAAGGTCAAACTCCGATGAGTTGATGATTTCCAGATTCGACGTTAAAATAGGTGCGTGGAACAGTTTTGAAGAAATAGGAGATAGACTGCGTTTTTATAATGGTTGATTCGACTGTTCGAGGGATAAATGTATTTTGTACCTGTAAAACTTTGTTTGATGATTCTTTCAGGAAACACACACCAATCATCAAGTTTGTAATCTCATTGTAGGTAACCGCTTTTCGTAATGGGCCAATATAATCAGGGAAAAAAAGAGGTGGAACATAATAAAATGAAATAGGTAATCGAGCCTAAGAACAAACAATTACGGATTGCTCAGGGAAATTTTAATGTGTCTGACTTGAACAATAAATTGAGACAATATTTGAAAACTGGTGAAAACTTATGAATGTGATTTTCTTTAAAATCGCCAAAGTTTTTCAATGAACAAAGTAATCGGGAAAAATTACTTTTTTTAAAAAAAAATAAATAAATAAAACGAGCTGGAGAAGAGCAGGAGATTTGTCAACATAGTTTGGGTGTCAATAAAAACATCTATAAACTCTCACAAAATTGTAGATTAAAAATCGAAGCTCAATGCTTTTGTGGAAATGGATCTCATAACTGCTTCATTTTTCTGACTTTTTTGGCTTTTTCCTGACTCCAGAATTTTGTGATTCCCTGCTTTTCCCTGATCTTTGGACAAAACTACCTCTTAGATTTTTTCCTTTGAATTGTGCTGACTGCTGTTAAATTTTGCATGAAAATTCCACTTAGATTTAAATTATAGAAAAAGGCACTTAAAAGTTGTCCCTGCTCTGTTAAACTAATACCGGCTGCAGTTCCAGAGCTGATGCTCTACTTGCTGAAGTCTTAGACTTTTCAGGTTTTATAGAACACCGAAAATCCTAGAGATTCGTTAAAAAACTGTGCAATAAAAGAAGTATTTAAATTAAGTATGACAATTTCCTGCAGATTTATCAGAAGATCATTTGTGAGACTTTAAAACATTTTGAAAAACAATGGATCTGCCGAAATTACATTTTGGATTTTCCTGATTTTTTACCTGAACGAATCGATAATTGTCTAATTATAAAAACCAACATAAGTAATGAACGGAAAAAAATGTTTCACTTTTCCATGTGCTAAACTGCAAATAGTTGAAGAATGCTTGACACACTAGGAATTTTCAGATTCATGACCGATTTTCGTAATATTTCCGGATATTTTTACTAACAGTGGCTGCTCTGAAATAGAAGACATATCGATGGTAAAACTACCAAACCACGTATCTCGGGAAACCCGATTTTTCAGGAGAGCAAAAAAACTGTCTGCGTTCCTTATTTTTGATAATTAAAAGGTAATAATTCTTGGAGATAAAGATGATAAGATGCTTTTCACTACGTCATGAGCATTTTTGAAAATAGTCGAAACAGTGATGAAATACGGAGGAAAAATCGAGTTATGTGTTTTGCGAAGTAGGAATTGACACTGTTACCTCGAGAAATGTGAATTTCGAATTAAGGTATTGAGCCTCTTATTTGGAAAGTTTGATCGATTTAAGGCTTAGCGAATAATCATATTGAACTGTGCACTTCAATTCATGCACTGGAAGCTTCTGTTGATCCTACAACTTGACCAGTCATCGTGTTTTATTAATTACAATACTATTAAACGGCATGACAGACTCAGAATTGTTGCATAGCATAAAATTGAAAGACTGATACGACCCGTACCGCAAGAAGTGGGTTACTACTACTACTTCATACTTTCTTGAATACCTTAACACTTCTAAAAAAGAAGGTGAATTTCATTGCCCGGTGGATGAATCGCCTTCTAATACAAGCGTATGCAACATGGATGACACCTCGTGTTCGCATTTTACAGGGTGTCCATAAAATCCCTTTTCCCAGTCTAACTTTTGACCTAATTGACGGAAAGATATTTGAAACTTGGGGAACAGTCCTAAGTCAGTAGGAGCTACTTTTGCGCCCCCCCCCCTCCCCCGAAAATTGTGGGGGATGGACCCCCTTGGGGGCGGGGGGCGGACCCCAAATGTTTTTTCTTCTTTTTCTCTCGTTCATAGATAACTTACGTTAAAAAAGATTCTCTTAAAGTTATAGTAGATACTTAACGCAAAATTTGCGTCAAAAGAGTAACTTCCCGACCATGGGATTGGCGTGGGTGCGTGTGGGTAGGTGCTTAATATAAGAAGTTTATAAGGGCGGGAATAGGTGGAAGAATGTTGTCAAATTTTCACGATATTTTTGCTTATCCGAAGTTTTTGGATGGAACATTATAATGTCTAAGAGAAAGGAGAGTTTTTTTTTTATTTTTTTCGGTCCTGAGGAGACAAGTACCTATATAATTCATAATTTGGTATAGAAATGGGGGAGGGCTAATTCCGTTTGGAACAGGACTCATTGGAACTCTCTGCAGTCTGCACCTCCTTGATGCAATAGGACTTACCTAATTAGCTCTCAAGGGAATTACATCTTGCTATACCAGAACTTGATAAACCCTTTGATTTGCCCCATTGAGGGCTCTTTTTCCCACCTTTTCTTTTTTTCAAGGTGAAAGTAAAGTCTATCAGGGATAATATCTGAAACTTTATGTTTTTCTTTCCTTTCTTGTTGGTCATATCCTTTAAAAACTTCGATCATAAAACTACCAAACCTTGAATCTTGATTTACAACGTTTCAGATTTCCTATCATAGGTACCTATCTACTTTATTTTAAAAATGGAAAACCACTCGACATCAATTTTAATAAACGTTCTTCATGTTTTTCGATGAGAGGCAAATTCTGTGAAAACTTCAAGGAATGATGTGGTACTGTTCTCCTTTAATAATATAATCCAGCAGAGATTTTAAAACAAAGGAAACAAGATTTGTGGTGTAAGAGTTTCACCGTCGATTTCTAATATCACTATATCTGTTGGTTGGTACATCTTGCAGCAATAGAGTATAGGAGAAATTTTTTAATGTCACCATGATAAGTTCTAAGCTGAAATCATACATCAACGGTGAAACTACCAGACTACGTATCTCGGTTTGCGACGTTGCAGACTTCCTGTCATGATTTATTTTTTAAATGGAAAACTATTCAACCTCAATTCTTAAGAACTTACGAGATTTTTCCTCTCTGTGAGAAGAAAAATCTATGAAAACTTTAAGGAATGATATTGGTTTGTTTTCCTTCACAAAAATAAAATGGGAGTGAAGATTTTTAAACACCGCAAATGAGATGTAAGGTATGGTAGTTTCACCGTCGACATGGTATCTAAGGAGGAGGGAAGCTTTAAAAAATTGGTTCTGAGGTTTCATCCTGTTTAAAAAAAATTTGTTACAATTTTAATTGTCACCACCAGTCACTGTTTTCCTGAAAAATTTCACCTACCTAACTCTTTCATCAAAATCACCTGACTTCTTTATCTGTGACACACCCAGATTTAAAATTAGCATTTTATTTTTGGGGAAAAACATTGACACCAAATCCTAGCTGAGTACTTTTCTATCAAAAAAAATGAAGAGTAAATAGGCTGTTATTAGTTTTTTTATAGTTCATGGATGATTATAATAAAATGAAAATATAATATGAAATAAAAATACACTTCTAGTTTAGAGAAATGAGAACAAAGAGAGGTAAATTCGAGCAACTGATCTGACTGTAGTCTCAAATGGTTTTGATTCACAGGCAACAAAACATAATGGATAAATTAATGAAAAAAACAACAACATTAAACTGTAAAATAAAGAAAGAACAGGGCTACTATGCAAACCAAAGACATAAAGACGGAGCGCTCGTATCTAAAAGCACGGGGAAAAAGTGAAGCTAGGTTCGGCGCTGCGCGCTTGTGTGAGTGTGTAAATGAGCGCGGGAATCCATGGCGGCAAACGGAAATTTGATTTGAACTTGTCCTCTTGATTTTTGCACATTTCTTCTTTGAAACATATTTTAAATTCCTAAAACGAATATACTAAGAAAGTTCGGTCTGCGTCCTAATATAATACACCTACTTTTGCTCGGTAACAGGCAGTAATCTCACATAAAGTTAGTTTTTCTTCTGCTCATGGTGGTTCTGCAGGTTCAAACAGGCCGTTACAGTTCTAGATCAACGTTACTCCCAAATGAAATTAATCGGTCGACGACGGACTGAAACTAACCTAAAGTTAAAAAAATATGAGTGTGTACCTGAATTTGGGCAAAAATCAACCTAAAATACTTTGTTTCCGCAATTTTATTTATTAGTTCCCGCCCTACATTTGAATTCAAACTTGTCCCGATTTCGCCGCCAATCCTCTAGCCAATAGTAGAGGTGATTGAAAAGAAGCTCTAGAAGCTTCATTTTTTGCTTTTAGTGCTCCGTCTTTATGTCTTTGATGCAAACACAGGTACATAAGTATTGCACAAACATCACACAATTTAATGAAGGAGGATATAATAGCTTTCTACTCATTTTCGGCATTTAAGACATAACACATTGCAATCAAGAGAGATATCGTTGGTGAAACTACGAAACTACACACATCGGTTTGCATTGTTGCAGATCACCTGTAAAATTTCACTTCTTGGAGGGATGATTGATCTTTGTTATTGCACAAAGTTGTGAGCTCTTTGCCCTTACAAGAAAACTCTTAAAATATTTCTTTCAAGAATTTCGGGTAATACTTTCTTGAAAAAAAAAAAAGAAAAAAAAAGGAACAGAAATTTTGAAGCTTTGCGATCTAAATACATATTTTCGTTTTTATAGTTTCAGCATCAAAATACAGCTTAATTGTTAGGTACTCTACACCGTGAGATTTTTCGATATCACACATTTAGAGGAAGAAATACATTTTGAAAATTGCCAGATGGCTTATGAGGTCTGCAAGCCATTCAGAATCCAAAGTAAGTGAAACAGAGGTATGCACCTCCCGACCACTTTGGCCGAAATGTAGATTTCTGTTACTGCCACCAAAGCCACAGCTCGAGATTTGAATTCCAACAGCTTTGCAGTCTTGGCCGAAAACAAATATGACCATCTGCTGTTGATAAAAAAGGACTCATTCGATGAAAGCATATTCGTTGAGAATAAAAATTCATTTGCTTTCAGTGAGGTGGTTGTTTGTTCACTATTATTAACAGCAGACTGTCACATTCATTTTCGGCTAAGACTGTAAACTTATCGAAATTCAAAACTCGCACAACGACTCTGTAGCAGGATAAAAAAATGAATTTTGGCAAAAGCGGTCGAGGAGAGCGTACGTATGTTTCACTTACCTTGTTTGGAATCACTACAAAATCTAATCAAGTATTCCACTTCCAATATCTCTAACACCACCACCAATACACCTTAACCTGCAGCAACACCTCTTATACCTGCCACGCCACCTCCAACCCCGACTGATATCCTGGATAAACAAAAATAAATTGATTGGCTTAGACACAACATGAATAATCTTTTCAATTCACACTAGAGGATTTTCACACTTTTTCAACTATCTCTTTCTGCCCTCCTCTTTCATCATACTATGGCAATGAGCAGAAAATTGAAATATGACATCAAAAGAAGCAAAACATAATTCGACGGTGAAACCCCCAAACTACGTATTACAGTTTGCGATGTTGCGGACTTCTTCGTTTATTTTATATTTAAAATGGAACGTCACCCAAAGTAAAGTCTTAAATCCTTACATGAGCGATCTTCTCCGTGCTAGGAAAATTTAGTAAGAAGGATACAGATTAGTTTTCTCTTAAAAAGGTAACATAATAAGAGCAGAGATTTTAAACACTTTGAATGAGATACAGTGTTTGGCAGTTTCACCGTCAAAATAATTATGGAAACGCTATGTGGACAAAGTTTATCAGAGAGGAACCAACCCACGTCAAGTTGAAACTGAGAAAAAGAGGTTTGAAATTTTGCTCTTGCATATGACTCAGTGTAAAAGATGAACTTCAAGTTCAATTTCTGCAAAATCTCTGAATTTTTTACCATAGATAGTACCTAGAGCAGTGGTTGAGTTCAAAACCACTCATAACTCAATTTTTTCCAAAATGTGGGTTGGTTTCTTTCTGCTGGATTCAGTCCATGTGCAGTATTAGACAGTAGACAAAATCAGGTGAACAATCATTTGGTAGCAAATGCGCTCCTGCATACCTGCACAATCACCAATCAACAAGTGAGCAAATTATCATAAAATTGGTGGTAATCTTTTGGGATGACTGCTTTAAGATCCTGCAGATTTTCGTATTTAGACTTTGGAATTGGCAGACGTGAGGACCATAGATTAGGGGGATCACTCTTCAATGTTATTGGACCCTTTGATGGAAGTTCTTCAAATGAGTCATCTAAATTTAGTTTAGAATAAATTTTTCCATCCGGACAGTATTTGAGGCATTGGATGTCATTCACTACAGGATCGCCTGGCTTTTTACCAGGACGGATGGAATCATAGTAATGAAGTTTGTCAAAATCTAGGATAAAATTGTAGTCGATGTATTCCACGTCATATGGAAATGGCTTCTTTCGGGCCTCAACAGTGTGTTTTACATAGTCATGGGGGATAAAAAGATTTTGATTTTTTAACTGCCACTATGGCACTGACTATGGCAGCATGGACGCTGTCGCATTCCATCTGCGTATGTCCCTTAATTAGATACTTCTGGGTGATTTCAACCTCTAATTCCATCGAGGTATGCAAAAGCGCGTTTGCTACCACATGGTTTTTATTTTGATTACAGCAGTTATTGCTGTAGATGACAATTGGTGTCCTGGCCGTGGAACTGCAGTGCTTCCTTAAATAATTATAAATGCAGGACCCATAAGTGTTGGCACTTAAATCCGCCTCGGTTTCATTAAACCAAAAACAACAGCAGTGGCGGCTACTCAAGTTATAGACTGTAAAATTATGTGAACACAATTTAGTTTTGTAGTACATGGCACTTGCATTCGTAAGTGGTGAAACTTTCACCGCCTGCAAGTCCATGCACAGACAAATAATATCCTTTCGAAGGGCTCGAGACTTGTCAGAGTCTTTTTCGATTCTGACTCTGTCTTTATCCAGAATGTGTTGTTCCCATTCTTTTTGGGACACATTTCCTGACTTATGACCTACACATTTATTGCACTGGTCTTTTTTAGGCGAAAAAATACTCAAATTTAACTGATGAAATACCTGGCAGAAAAAAGTTCTACTGACAGCAGACTTATTCTGTTCGGCTGCAAAAGCTTTGTACGTTTCATACAAATCAGTTTTATTTTTCCACCTTTCTTCAAGATAAAGCTTTTTTGTATCTTTTCTACAATAATGGGATGGTAGTTTTTGCAGCATATCAAACCACTGTAGCAAGAAACATTTTTTTTCCGTTACTCTCTCCTCTGGCTCATCAAGATCTTCTTCATCTGAATCTCTACCCCCATTCATTGGTACAGTCGCATTATTAAATTCATCATCTGTACCTTCATCGTGGGGAAGGCATTTTTTCTTTGCCCAAGTGTGGACTGTCCATTCTTTCAAGCACAAAGTTGTGCAGAAAAACTGCTTACATACTTTTACTTGTTCACCTGAAAGATTTAAAAAGTAATGGAAAGAGTAGTTCCTCCTAGAATTTCCTTCCTTCTTTTCTTTGGGTTTTCTGACTTCGACGTGGGAACAGACAAAAACTTGTTTCTCTTTCCATGAGAGATCCCAAAAGTTTTGAAAAAGATCTGATCTCTCCATTTCTGTGAATTGGTTACAAAATCGTTTGTTGCTGGCTGCGCATATCTTTGACACACACCGTGGTCCTAGTTTCTTTTCTCTTCTTTTTATTATGACTGTTTTTCCACTCTTCTTGTGCGGACTTTTGTAACTTTTTCCCAGCATTCCATTTAATTGTTTTATATTTTTCCCCCAAGTTTTGGGGCGAGATGTATTGTTTCTTGATCTTTTAGGATTTAAACTGAAAAAATCATTTGCTAGACGATTTTCTTTATAGTCATACCTGCTTCTTGTAGGTGAAAAGGTCGGTAACATGTCTGACGAGGTAAAGGAGTAATTTACCAGCAACTTTGGTACTGCACCTTTAAAAAGTAAACACACACTTGATTAGGGACGAAAAACATGAAAAAATCTATGAAAATGAATTATACTTGGATTTAAATGTCATTGGACACACTGAGAATAATAGCTCGTAAAAACTATCCAACTCTTCATTTATTTGGAAGAAAATAATAATGTGAGATGTTTTTGTGAATACATTTAAAAATTAGCTGTTGTAAAAAGTTAAGAGCATGGAATGTCGAGTCATCAACACATGGGCCTTGTCTACATGACCACAGTTTGTGGAACTTCGGGCGAACTTGTTTCTGGAAAATATCATAGCTCAGCTCTAACTTATTCTGCGAAATCTTAGTTAGTTGAACTAATCCGCCCTTAGTTCCATGAACTGCGCTCGTATGGACAAAGTCTTGGAAGAAACGGAGTTTGCTCAAACTTGTGCAAAGGGTCTGGAGGTTTATAAATATCACTTCATAGTGACAATATATGAAAATATTTTCTTTGGACATGATTTTTTTTTTTCCACCCTGATCACCCAAATGAGGAGTGGAAATTCAAAATACATATGATGAACGCCATCAGATGTTCCTAAAATTATAAATGGTGTTTCTCATCTTGAAAGAATCAAAATGCCCTTGCTTTGTGAAATTTTTAACTAGAAGTATTCTCTAAATTTTGGTCTTCATCAGGTATTAGAAAATAATTTTCATTAGCAATGAGATTCCCGTTAAATGAGAGGTACAATTTCACAATCCTAGTAGCACCAGATGACACCTATTATGTTCAGAATTTCCACTCAAATGGGAAGGTGCTACATACAATGCGCAACTGATAATTCGAAACTGAAGGGACTGAGGAAATTTTGAGGAGGATTTTTTGGAATGAATGAGATTTTACATCAGCAAGATTTCAAATCATAGAAAGCAGTTTCAAAGAAAATTCAAAATGGATTTTTAAATTAGCTCTATGATTTGAATTAGGGAAACTCAATTACTCTACAATTCAAAATTGCTTTTTTCATACATGAAAATTGAAGGCATTAAACCCCCTTTGAATTAGGTATAGAGCATCTGCTTCCACCAATTTGAAATGCAGGCCATGTGATCCTGATTTCAAATCTCAGAGTTTAATTTAAAGTTGAACTTCTTTTTATCGGGATGCATTTTATCTGTTGATTTTACCTTTTTCCCGATCACTGCTTGTCTTCAGATTTTAGGCGATGTGGCCAAGTAATTTTGTGGGGCATTGTGATTTTTAGGCCAAGTGGCCTGAAGATGATGTGTACTTGACATCGAAATATCTATCACCAAAAATCTGAAGACAAGCAGTGATGGGGAAAAAGGTAAAATCAACAGATAAATCACAGAGTATTTATAGAGTGCTATGTTGGCACGATTTCCGATTGCAGAACAGATTTACCTGCTGACTGGGGTGCAAAAATTTGGATTTAATACAGGGAACACGAACACATGGGTTATCCTGGAATTGACACTGTACTGTTCATGTGTTGAATTGCGAATGGATAAGTTTGCTTCAAAAATTCTGAGGTAATCCATCTTTGACACCACTGGACGGCATTATGCAAAAACGAACTAATTTTTCTAGCACATTGATGAAACCATTTAGCTGCTTCACAAAAGCAAAAGCAGACACGAATGATAAAGTTCTAAGAAACGTATCTCAATTGCACCTTATTAAAATCTCTGCAGCTGCTTTATTCCTTTAAAGAAAAAAACATTGATGTTTTCGTTATACATTTTTTACATAATAAAAGATGGTTCCTTTTTTGCATGATGCAGAACAATCTGACGAGTGACAAGTTTTCAGTAATTATCAATTGTCAATTTGAAATAGGCAGAGCACTTCTCAAAGTTCAATAAAAACTGTCTTACCATTGCCTGATGAGCCGCTCAGGAGAGGTTCAGGCTGAACATTTACCGAGGGATCGAGCAAAGGGCTTGAAAAGTTGAACACTTGAGGTGAGCCTGAATAATGAAAAAAAAAAAATTTACATTGATGATGAGCATTCTCAGCTGATCTGAAAGACAACAAATCGATGGTGAAAGTTTAAAATCCTGAACTTGAATGGGGAAGGTGTTTTAAAATTTCTGCTGTAACTTCATTCTTTGGACAAAATAAGTAATATTTTTGCATGACATTACTGAGAAGTATTCCTACCAAAAGAGGGGAAAATGGTGACAATTTCACTGACCACTTAATGTTTAATTGCTAATATTACATGTGGCAAGAAGTTTCCCCAGTCACAAACTGTGCTTAATATACAGGTCTTGAAGTTTCTACACTTAAATCATTTTGAAAAACATTATGCAAGGAAAAAGATAATCCACATTCTACGACAAATTTGACATTGCTTAAGTACGCATATTATTTTAAGATATTTTTCATTGCAGCTTTAAAATCAAAGCTTAAAAAATCAGCTTTAAAAGCATTCACAGGAAAAGAAAGAATGAAAAATTAGATTCTCAACAGTTCTGTAAGCGTTTTCTGGCAGAGTTAGCTGATTAGTGATCAAGGTGAGCTTCTCCTTCTTCAGGAGTTCACACATACACAGCATTCATTTAGATTCCTGTAATTTTTTATAAACTGTCAAATTGGCGGCAACGGATTTTAATGGATAAAATGACAGCCAGCTAAAGAGAACCAAAATTCTTGCAACAATAGGAGCTTGAGACGCCACTTGCCACATTGACTTGCAGGCAGAATTTTGTCCATAAGTCCCACCCAGCAAGAATATCTCCTTTTAAAAACACGAGTTGAAGTGTTATAACCTGCACTTCTCGGTCATAATTTTCTAGAGATCAACACATAAGAAATTAAGTTTAAAGTCTATTATGCTCGGCAGGTAGTGAAAAACATTAAATAAAAGTTTGGAAGGGTCTGTTCACTTCTGCAGTTTGTATTATCATTTCACGCCATAATTTTGATTAAGGTGGATAAAAAACCCGGTAATAGTCAGCTTCAGACCTACTCTTACTGCCTATTTGTTTAAAAAAAAAAGAAACAATTAAGTAAAAAAAACCCAAAAAACCAATCATTATTTTTCTGAGGTTCAGAGACAAATTGTTCTTAAAAATTCATAAGGCAAACACAATAATTCGCTACAGAAGCATACTCACATTGCTGAGGGCTTTCTTCTGGTGACAAGGGAGGTAACGTAAAATTGGGATCATCTCGTTCATCACAATCTTCATGAGCTGACCCTAAAAATAAAAAAAGAAAGCATTACAAAATATGTACGTAAATAATGTTGGGGAAAATTGATGTAAAGGTGTAAAACCCTGCAAAATAATCTACTCTTATATCTTCGTTTTTACACTAAAAAAGGGGTTACTTAATAGTTTTCTTTAAAATTATTGAAAACAACGTATCCTTCTTGGGGCAGAGGCTTATTTAGCCCCAAAAACTTGTATCTTCATTTTTGAAAGATTCACATATTAACTGTTTTCAATAAGTTTTGTATAGGTAAAAGTACAATTCGATGTAAGTATTTATACTAGAAGGAACTATACGGCCTGCTGACCCTATGGACGCAGCTCCTTTTAGCACATAAATTCGTCCAAATTATACTGCAGAAGGGTAATCATATCAATGCCCAAAGGCGGGAAGAGCGTACCTCCAATTGCAGTGTTGTTCACTTCTGCTCAAGTTTTGTTTTCGTAAATGACAACCAACCAACAGTTTTTCCTTGCTATTACCTGTGAAGTTTCTGCACTCATATACTTACTTAAAAATAATCTAAAAAAATGCGAAGAGAATATTTTGGTTTGGTTTCCTCTTAAAAAAAGAGAACATAGTCGGAGATTAGAAACATTGCAATACAGATGCACATTTTTTTACTTCATCCATCAATATGGAAGCTTTTAGATAAAAGGGAAACGTCTCCATTGTAACAAGAGCCCTGAGCCTCATAAGTTCACTTGCATTACAAAGCTCATGTCACAATAGAGATAGTTCCTTTTGATTTAAATGCATCCATGTTCCTGCTGAAGGAGTTCCCTTCTGATGTGCGCCGATAGATAAGGCAATATTATAATTAGTGCATCATCCACCTGAATATGAGAAAGATTCTTTGCCAAAGCAAGAAAAATCTGAGCTGACCAGAGGATGAGTGGGCAAGTCCAATATTCATAAATGACAGTGAGTAACACAAATTCTTAAAGAAGGATCACCTATTAATATCAATTTTGATCTTACTTACTGATGTCGAATGAATTCAATCTTCTCCCATTCAAAGTTAGGTTACCTAATTCATTTATCAGTCAGTCCATGCTAAATGAGTCTACTTTTGGAGGGTGGCAGAAGATTAGCCGCAGCCGTCTTTAGTTAGGGATTGACAATAAATACAAGAATCAAGATAGCAAATTTACTGTCTTTCTCTATGAGTGGATGAACTTATTTGGCATGAACTCTAAAATAATGGTGCTGCAACATCCGAGTCATCATGTGCAGAAAGTAAATTCAAACTTCAATCAGCATTGGCCAACAATAATCAAAAGGTTATTTGAATTTTCTCTCTTAACAAGATGACCTGGCAATGTCCGTTAGTTCAGACATCTATTAGATAATATTTTAGTAGGTAATAATAATGCTTTTAAGATAGTAAACTTGCAGGAAGTCTACTACAAGCCATGTGTCCTTGCTCTGTCTGCGACCTCAGTGAATTGCTGGTGCTTTGAGGATGAGAAACTGAATCCAAAACTTCGATAAAATATCCATGAAAGTCTGACTTTCAGCACAAACTTTATTTGATAAATGATAACTTATAACTTAGGTAAGGTTAATCGATCATCAATGATCTTACCTTTCAGCCGCAGCCAAAATTTCTTGTTTTTCACAGATCTGCTGCTTCGACGGCGTGTCATCACGACTCACTTGACTCACTACTTAAAAAAACATAAAAAACTTAACAAAACAACTTCAAAAATACTAAAATTTGAACAGTTAAATAACTTTGAAGAGAATTGGAGGAGAAAGAGAACTGAGAAATATTCCAAACAAAAACACCAAACAGCTGATGACCGACGTAATACTAACACTGCGTACTACAGAGCGCGCCGTGTGTACAATAACTTCCCGCCTGCGCGGGATATGTGAATTGCGAATTAGCGCGGAGATATGTGATATTTGAACTACGGTTTTGGATAACTTCCTGATTTTTTTCGACAAAAATATTTTGGTGGCAGATAAAGGGCATCTCCTACAACTCATTTATGCAGCTAACTCAAAACCGACAAAAATCGAGATACGTGGTTTGGTAGTTTCACCATCGATATTTACTATTAATAATACAAGTTGGTATTGGAGGAAAAACAATAGTCTATACCTGAATTCATCCATTTTCCCGACTACTTCTCCTTCAGTTGTGAAAATATCTCTAGATGTAGTAACCACTTTTAATTCGCATTAAGATGGGAAGGACAAGTTTACCTGATTGCTTTGCTAGTTTATTCTCTTTCTTGTCTAGTTCCATATCAATATTTTTATCTGAAAAATAAAAAAAAACAAGGAAAATTGATTAGGATCGGAAGTTCCATTGATTAAAAATTTGACTCATCGATCGTAAGAAGATTCAGTAGATTGATCAAAAGAGGAGTTGAATGGTACATAGACAAATGATTTGCCTAGTCAATGGAGAGACTTCTAGTCAATGAAACGGATGAGATGATCCAACTTATTGATTGACAGAGAATTTGATTGGTTGATTGACAAACAATTTGACTGGTTAATTTAACAGGTCAATGAAGAGACAGTTTGACTGATGGAATGATAGAAAATTGGATCAGTTAATTTACAGGAAAGGACACTATGAAATTTTTCCCACTCTCTTGTGGGCCCCAGGTTAAGGTGCTAAACAGATGCGCTATTTGCAATATTCCGATACTTTCCAGGAGTTCCCTAAATTCCTGACTTTCCTGGATGACTGTATATTCTCTGACTTTCCAGGTTTTCTAGACTTTCGAAAACTAAGCAAGGGCTAAAAAGAGAGAAAAATAGGGGTCATCACTCCCGCAAGTTGCCCTTCAACCCAAGATTTGCCTTGTTTGTTGCCATTCGCAGATAAGGTATTTTTGGCACCCTTACTTTATGTAACCCTGAAGACAGAGGCTAGAATTTGTGATACACCTTGAAATTTTCTTTGTTAGAGATCTTAAGTTGTGGGAGTTTCAAGAAGTATTTCCAAATTTTGGTTAAAGGACTACATGTCCTACAATCTCACTCTCACCAGTATTGAGAAAAGGAAGGAGTTGAAATTCTTCAACATTAAATGTTCCCTTTTTTTTCTTCTTAGCTTTTTCTTTTTGCTTAGCACCTTCTTCGCCAGTTCCAACATCACAATCCTCATTGTCTTCATCATCGTTATTTTGTTTCCGGCTGAAAAGAATAAATATGAGGTTACCAAGTATCCTCGACAAATGTATCAAAAAATGACTTGGAATTAACTAAATTCTCAGAGAAAACAGTGTTTTTAATTTAACCCTTTCGATAGAACCATTGTATCAACCTATTCACTTGTTTGTGCATTGCCCTCTCTCTTTAATGGAACAATTTAATGGAATCCATGAACCCTCAAGAGTTGGTGCCAAGTTTCAGACTTCTTCCATAATTATCTATTAAGATATGAATAAGAAACCATGTTATACCTTAAAAAAAGTGGACGTTAGAATTCGCTGTTCATCTTAATCAAGCTCATTGATATCCTTGAAGATAGTGTAAATAAGCACATTAAAGTACCTGGTAATAAACATAAATAAGACTGTTGCATATGGGTATCTGTAGGATGGCATCCTCTCCAATATTTTCCCTACTTTAGAAGATCAATAATATAATTTTACTCTTGGTTCCAATTTGAAAGTTAGCAAACACTTAGTTCCTTAGAAAAATCATTAAAAAACTCAACAGTTATCATACATTGATTCATTTAAAGCACTTTCCCTTTTTTACATTAGATAAGTAGTTAATTTTATGTCTTAACAATAGTTTTACGTAAGAACAGGAGATGTGGTCGTTTTTTAAAATCACTGCATCTCAATTGAGGGCTTTGGATGACAAGTGGGCTAAGAGCAGTTTTTGCTATTTCAAGGGTAGGTTTTGAAAAGTTTAAAGTAGGACGGAGCCTTGTTGCGGAGAAAAATTACAAACTCAGTTTTTGATGGTTAAAAATTGGATTTTGGTGGTGGCTTTTTCACAGAATATATTCTGGGACTAGTTTTAGTTTAAATTATTAATATCTAAAATTTTTCAAAAGCTGCACTCATCCCCCTTGTCTCCCAAGCCCTTCCATTGAATTTGATTTAAATTTAAATTCCTAGAGCTCATTTTTTAGAAAAAGATTTGCTCTTTTGTTTAAAATGATTTCCTTGACAAAACCCTCTTTGCTGTACAGACGCAAATGTGCACAGCTTTGAAAACTTTAAACGTCATTTTCTCAAAACTTAAAAGCTTAAAAACTTGACATCCGCTATCTATGCATATATGGCTTTATATACTGTCTGTTGGTATAGATATGAACTACAGTTGCATCATATTCATGACAGATGGCGGACACATCTATACATGAGAGAGAGCCTTAAAGCGCCTCAGGCTGCCATGTTTTGCCAATATGTTTTTCCTAACTTGGTTTGTGGGATGTACATGGAGAATCTTCATCTAGCGCCTATTGAAGGAGTAAAGCCCCTGAGAAAATACTTTGATCACTTACTTTATGTTAGCAGAAAGCCGTATGCTCATAGTTCTTGCCCAAATTGAGTCGACATTCTTGGCAAAAATAATCAGTGAATTCTGAATCGCCATCGCAGCTTCAGCAAAATTTATTTCTTATACTGCTGAGGAGTTATTGTAGAGGTTCCTAATATTCCTCATGTATGCCTCCAGGTACTGAAAAATGTATTTGACAGGTAAGTGAAATAAGTAAGTATATATAATTTTTTCTCAGCTTTGTCATACCTAAATACTATAATATTTTGCTTCTCTTGCAGGCTTTTAAGGTGCACCTCCTAAGTGCCTTGATACGCTTTTCTCTTATTCTGTAAAGCTTGTTTTTATCAAATTGTCGAAGACTGCAATAAATTTAAATATTCAGTCACCAACACACCAACCACTTTCTTATGGAACCATGTGGTAGAAAGGCCATGTGGACCACTCTTCTGAGGTGTCTTCAAAAATTAACATTAATAATTGTGCAGCCAGGTTGCGAATTCAAGAGATGGTGAGTTCCAGAAAAAATAAGTCACCATGAAGGCTTTTTCCTGAAATCTGACACCAAATTTTAACTTAATACCATGAAAAATTTCTCTGCTTCAGTTTGGCAAACATCATAAAGCAAAGATCGGGAGCACAAAACATACATCAGTTCTGCATGAATGAAAGCTGGGCACTTTTTTTCAACCTCCTTTGGATAATGGGCATGAAGTTTGACAACAATGCATTAGAAGAATGTAAATCTTATCATTCAGAACTTAGGTATCAACCTCCAGTTTAAATTTGAATAGTACGAATGGTTGTTGGACTGACAAAGATATGATTATGATTTCTCCTGGTGCAAAATTAGTTTTGAAATTATTTCCTTCATTTTAAATTAAATCCCAATATTCCTTTGAAGAGCATTCATTCACGAGGTTTGATTTATTTTTTTTTTTTGAAAAATGTACCAGTCAAATGGAAAATTTAATCTTGAAAATCAGGGTGAATATTTTTATTTTAGCTTTTTAACATCTTTTGATGATGAAATGTAATTCATATGATGGAATATGGTGGTGAAAAGTTGTTGTAAAAGAACTATGGCAATGACCTAAGAGCAAAACCAGGTATCTCTGTTTGCACGTTGCAGACTTCCTGACATACTATGTGTTTTCTTCCAAAAATTCCTCACCATAACTCCGGGAGAGTTTCCTTAACTTTTCTTCACTCTTACAATGGAGATGTTGCATGTGTGAGGGATTTGCGATTTGACCGTTGATTCTTGTGTAAAAGTTCACAAGAAACACGATGGTGCCACTGGTTTTCTCTGAAATCATCTCCCAAGCTCAAAAAAAGCTCTAAAAGTGAGGCCAAAATGGAGGGGATATCCCACCCTACCCTGAGAGTCCACCTCTACATCAAAACAAACTCTCCATGCAAAGATAGGGAGCAAATACATTAGCAGGGTTGCCACTTTATTTGGGGACTCCCAGAGGGACTCCAAAACTGAAAACACGGCAACCCTGCTAATGTATTTGCTCCCTATCTTTGCATGGAGAGTTTTTTTTGATGTAGACATGGACTCTCAGGGTAGGGTGGGATATCCCCTAATCGCAAATCCCTCACACATGCAACATCTTTATTAGCAGAGTACTCTACGCAAGTTTCATAAAGTCATAAAGTTAGTTGGCTTGCTCCGCTTCAAAAAAAGGGGAAAAAAAAAAAAATAGGAGCAGAAATTTTGAAACACTGCGACGGAGATACATGATTTCTTACTTTGGTGTACAGCTTCAACATAACTTAGTTCACACTTTTAACTGAATTCTTTGTCCATAAAAACACAATGTTCTCATATCAAAGTTGTACTAAGTAGATTACGGAATGTTGGTGAAAAAACGATGGACTAAAAAGTTAGGGGACATCTTCCCTTTATGTACACCACTATGCATCACGCATGCGCATGCACTATGCATTATGTGCATCACTATGCATAATCTTAGTCATTATTACAAGCTGTAAGCTGTGTTTAAGCTGTAAGTGGTTGTTCAAAAGAACTTATCAATTTAAAATGCAATACTCTGAATTTGAAATTAATTTCTTGAGCCTGCAACATTTTGGGAGAGATCTTTGACAGGTTTTGAACTAATATAAGAAAAAGAGAAAAGAAAAAATATGAGCTATTTTACCTAAAAAAGTATTCCAGTTCTCATGGATTAACAAAATGATTTTACTTGATGAAAAATATTTATAACTCATACCTGAGACAAATCTATGAAGGCCAGTTTGGATAAATTGGTTGCTTTGAAGAGCAACTCATGCTCAGAGATATCCGTTGCTTTGAAGAGCAACTCATGCTCAAAGATATCCAGTGGCTCTGCCGCCATTTTGATATGTTTTTAAATCTGTAAAAAGGAGAAATCTACATTAGGAAGAGGGCAACAAAATTCTTCGGGCTTCTTTTTTCCATGTACCTGCAATATGATGAGCAGGTTTTTAATTTGTTGCAAAGGCAACCTTCCGAAAATAATACCACTCACTAAGAGACTAATCGATTTTTTGCTGACTACTTTTACTTGTGTAAACAGTCTATAGCAGATCATTTAGCCAGTCGTACAGTGCGGAGAGTGATACAGTAAGATTACTGCTGAAGTTGCTACCTCAGACAGGAGTTTAACTCCTCTCAAATAACGTTTACAAAGATACAAAGAATATGGCAAAATGCTTTAGTTCTTTTTGAATTAATTTAAGGTCTCTACATACCCATTCTGATCAATTAAAAACGGAGAGTACACTGTGAACCGAAAATAAATATTCTTGAGTGTTGCACAAGTCAATACCAGAGAAGGTTGACGGTGGAGAGTAGATAAAATTGGTCAAATAACTTTATGCCTTCAAGAGAAAGGACAAACTTGTGTAAAACTATCAGAAGTAATACTGCTAACTTGAGGTAGAGGTGTCGTCAGCTAAGTCGCAAGCAAGTACAATGTAGTAGTCCAACAGAAATCAAGGATTGACTAAGCTCACGATCAGGCTGCCGTCAATCCCCTATAGCTGTTGGACAATTGCATCTCAATAGACGCTATTAGTGGCACTTCACAAAAAAGCGTTATACATATCGATTTATTTGCATTAAAGTAGCATTGAAAGAGGTTACGCCAATGTTATTGTATGGATCCAATTCGATACAATGGAGAATCCCTATGATGACTTCACTACTAATATCATCTATTGCTTGCAAGTGGAATGTAAACAAGTGCTAACTTAGCTGACGACGCCTCTTGAGAGCAGAGTAAACGGGTAATTGTGAAAAATTTAGGGTTGAAACAATGGAAATATAACATAGAACATAAAAGTGGAAGGATGGGGCAGTCTTGCTGGTCTCAGAATCGTGTAACGATACTTTATTCTTGCAGATCAACT